ACGACTCATAACTAATAGGAAGCCCGCAAACGATTTCTCGAAGTTGTATCTTTTACATTTTGCCTGGGGGATAATCATTTCCCACTGATAGAGCTTAAGTCGAACATCATCAAGATCAATGCACAGTACACGCTGGTCCTGAAAACTTGTTAGCTATTGGAGACAAAAGGTGTTATTTATTTACTTATTTACACCAAATAGGAGGTTTTATGATAGTTATCAATAGTCCTTTAGTTGGCTTCCGGGTTTCACAGAGAGGGAGAACATCAAAGTCACAAAAGTCGAGGGGGGGGGGGACAAAAGAGTAATTCATAGATGTAAAAGAGACAGACACAGAGGTAGAGAAAAAGGTAAGTTGAGAACAGTGAAAGTGGTCGAATATGACATGCAGTCAGGCCATGATAGTTTGAAATCAACTATCAGTTTAAAGCTATTTTTTCGTATGAGTATACGCTGCCCAGGTTGCACCACGTGGAAGTAAGTCTATCGAGAACACTACAAACAGTGGTATCAGTACAGAGGTATTTTGACATTCTCAATTTCAAACCTTCCTACTTAATAGAGTGGCTTGGAGTAACCGCAATTGTTCTTCTGTTTCTGAGCCAACTTAGACTAGAAAAAACCCTGGAGGAGGTAGTTAAATCGTGACAGCAGAATACGAGAGCATTATAAAAGTGGAAGAACGAGTTGCAAAATGGACAGTTAGGTAAATACACATTCCTAATCGTCATAAAATGACCATCGAAACTCTGCTCTACAGTTTCCTTTCTGTTTACTATAAGTTTCTTTGCAAGTTATCAACATTGTAAAGGCAAAATGATCTAAATGCTTATTCCTTAGTTAATAACCCGAAATTGTACAAAATTAACCTAAATGCCCCAGTGGCGTGCATAAGTTATCTTAGCGTATTAAGGTCATGATCTGCTCAGGCCATTCTGTTTCTGACTCCATAAAAAAATGATACTGGAAATAAGCTATATTTTCATCTAACTATATTTTCAAGTCAATTAAAGGAAGTTGCACCAACACATTGCCTAGGAACTTTGGAAAAGCTTGCATTATATAAATCCTCTTATTGACTAGAATTAGGTGCGCGATTATTCGATAATGTCATAATCGGTCATAACGATCGTAATCATTACTATAACCTCTAACATTGCTGAAATGCAAATCGACCATTACTAAGACACACTTACAAATGAATTGCAGATGTTGAAGTTCTTATTTACTGACATAAATGGATGACATTACGCACCTTCTGAAATTGTTCTTCAGTCTCATTCATAATGATTTTCGTTCACTAAACTTTAGCCATGTCTTCCTCCTCCCATGGCCCTAACTCGTGCCTGACATACCCAGTCCAGCTCATCGACTCCATAACTGTCCCTTATCACCTAAAAGTACACGCGTCATTCTCCAAATACACGCCTATCGTTTACCTTTTCCTTCAATCTCCTCTCCCCCAACCCCACCCTCTCTTAGTCTCGATCTTAGACGTACGATTCCTCATCATGCTTATTCAATACATTGTGGCTAACACTACTCGTTGTGTTCCTTTTAGACCTATTGCTTGGCGATTATAACTGCTGCTTTCAGTTTTTTATTTCTACAAACTACTTGTGGTTAACTCAATTCTACAATGTGGCGAACGCAACAAATTATCGAAGAGAACTCCAAATTAGGAGAATAGCAATCAGAAGATGCAAATTATGTTTTTTTTGAAAAGCTAGCGAGTGCACTCACATATTCAGATCGTCCATAGGCCACATACATGATAGTGATTGACTTAATTTGAAAAAAAACATCCGCGTATACTAGTTACCATGACTGTATTGATCTGTAAAGCATAACTACTTAAAATCATATTACAAATAGAGGGTTAAGAATTGGATCAAAATAGTTCATCGCAAAAATGACCAGTTAAATACTTAATCCCGAAATTTTTAATAATTTTGATTTTGTGAATAGGTATGAAAATATTACAATAAAAAATTCACTAAAATCATTTTCACTTAATTAAAAATAAAATATATAAATAATAAAAGAATGAAGTTTATCTTACCAATTTTATATTTTCAAATGTGAAAAATCGGAATACCAGAACAATTTATTTTTATTGTCTTCTGTTGTAGGGTATATATGCGACCTTGAAAATGTGAATTTTTAACCTGAGCAATTTTTGTTTAACAATTGTTGAAAGATTATTTCATATATAAATTACTTTAATGGCATACAGATTTTTCTACCATTAAATCGTAAATGTCTGCAAATAGAGTCATTTTTAGACACCCAGAATTTGGGTAACATTATTATGAAGAAAAATTAGATTCTTTGAAAAATCAAGCAATATTTGTAGTATTTACATCCTTAGTACTATACTTTAATAAATAAATATTGTTCCTACTAACTTATTTTAGATATATTGTACGATACGTTTTTTCATGAGCTCAGTTTTACACAATAATTGGGACGCATTTGACAAATGGATGAACAAAATCAATAAAAATAGGGCAATCAATTGTGGAAAATCTATTGCTGAGTATCCGTTTGCCTCTTGCCGAATTAGAAAGATCTGCGGTTTGAATTCCTTCAAGGAACTTCCAAACGATGTACTGGAATGTATTACAAAGCCGACTGGAACGAAAGGATCTGTTGTTTATTGGATGAATCGGGATCAACGCGTCCAAGGCAAAAGCTGCTTCATGTTTATAGTCTCACCACAACATTTTTATTATAACGTTTTATTAATTTTATCTTTTAGATAACTGGGCTCTTCTCTTCGCCCAACGGATTGGCCTAAAATTTTCCTTACCGCTTGATGTTTGCTTCAGTCTTCCATCGTCTGCTGCGATTCAAACACGAAGGCACGCTAATTTTCTTTTGGAAGGTCTAACCGAAGTTGAACAGGCAAGTCTCCCATTAATTATTCACTCTACTTTTTGTAGCATTAGTAACAAATGTGATATGTAATTAATTATCCGGAAGTTTTTTAAGCGAAGATTTTAAAATATTTGCTTTATTTTATGTTCAGTATATGCATGAATATAAAATATATTATACGGATTCAGCTGTTGATGAGTTCTATATGTTGGAAAATTGAGTCTTGTGAACTAATAAACGCAAGCGAATTTATTTCTAAAGCTCCATAAAATTGGATTAATATGCGAATGTTTCAGCCATAATCCTGTACAAGTTTTAATTTCTATATTCTTGTGTTATTGGAAACTCATTGATATTTTCATTTTAGTAATGTGTATGCCAACGTTGGTGTAAAAGTTAGTTAATACCTCAGTATGGTTTCCATTTTCGGAATTCCTGTATCAGTGTTGAGATTTAATTTAAAAATTGAAATTAATTAAAGTAAATCAACCAATATGTTCCATTTGATAGATATGAATTTAAAGTGATATATGGAATCAATACAATTTATATTTGTTTCCTTAGTGTTCTACTTAACTGTAGTTGGGATTAAATATGAAGGAAGATTTAAAGCCAACTAATATTCACTTTTTACGGATAGTTGCAGAGCTTGTATAGTGATTTCAGTTTTGTTCGTCCTGAAAGTCTACGAATTGAATATAAATTCTACTTCATGAATGATTCTAAACCAAAGAATCGATTTACTCCATTTATTTCCGATTAAAAAACTGCCAGAAAGAGGCTATTTAAATTGGTAAATATTTTGTCCAACTGTTTGCAACTGACCCAATTTTTGAACAACTACTGATTCGTCATACTGGACAGACTGACTTCCCTTCCCCAATTGGCCGCCTTTAGCTTTAACAACCAGCTGGGAGACCTCCTCGTGAATTCCATTCTCGAAAACAACACGCGGTCCCTAAATCTAATCAAGTACCTGACAAAGCTCTTTGATCCCTTGCCAACAAGATTTGTAGGGAAATTGGAAATAAATTTGATTATTTGGTATCTAATAAAACAAGGTCTGACGTGAAAACGTGACGAAAATGGAAGATGCCTCTTTCATTCCAGTTTCAGATAGGTGCCATATTTGACGTCATGGTGCTGTTAATTCCTTAAATATTTTAATTTCGCAAAGAAGAAAATGACGCTTATTTTGAAACCTACCTTTAGGCTAATTCAGCATCTATTTAAAAACATGGAATTATTTTGGATTGCCCTTGACCTAGAAGTAAAAGTACAAATATGAATAAGTGCGCATTGTTAGTTTATTTGACTTGAAAAAAGCTTACCCTGGCCAAAATCTATCATTTCGTCTCTTAGAGCAAAAAAAGCATCCAAATGAATCGTAAGAATCATAATTTCAATTTCCTCTCAATAGTGCTAATTTGTTGAAAGAGGCCAAGATTGTCTTAGTTTTTCCATATGGATGTTTGACCAAACGGATCTTACTTGAGGAATAAATCCTTTGAAATGCCTTCGCGAAATTTGAACTTGGATCATTTGATGTATTGGCAATGGGTGAAGCTATTGCGATGACGTGCCACATGTGGGGGATGATGCACAAATATGCCTTCCGAGGAATTCCAACTAGCTGCAGGCAAATAGTCTCCGACAGAGTTAGCTGAACGATATCACAGAAGAGTTAACACGGAAAGTATCTAACTGAAGAGCGTTTATTACACTTTTTGGCTGATCACAAAACAACATCAGTTCTTGAATACGTGACGTCACTTTAAATGAATATTAATAGTTGATTCATTGAGAAGGTCTCTTGCTACCTGCACTATCGGTGCCGTATCGCACTTTCCAGAATGAACCCTCATGCGGGAGATTCCTTTGGTCAATTTTGAAAGCGATAAATACTTCACACACATACTCATCATATTGGCCACAGACTCTAGATTTGATAGCAACCTTGCATCTTACACTTATGACACAGAATATGCCCCGTAAATTAACTTTTATTTCAATTAGCCGTCTGTTAAAAATGCATGGAAACAGATTCTGACACAGTCCTTTTTTACTTAAAGTAAGTGGATGCATTCAGATACTTTTAAGTCTTTTATGTTTTGAATACTGTTGGGCTGGAAATTTAGCCGCTCGAACTGCTGTATTGTAGGATTCACTAGTGGAAATCTTAGGGGTAGTAGAAGATTCTACCCAGTTACACGATTTTTCTGATCTTGTGATAAAATTCTTTATTGTTCTTTTTTGTCTTCAGCAACAGCAATAACACCGGTTTTTAGATTGCAGTCATCTTGTTCTGGTAGTAGGAGCTATTGCACACAAGAAGCAACATCTTCGAGAAATTGAAAGAAAAGTTTACAGATGTCTAACTGGAAATGAAACTGCCTAAGTGTTTTGTAAACAAATAAATAGATATTTAAACATTATTCGTTAGTATACATATCTAATCAACTCGATAAATATACGGAAGATGGACATAAAGTGGAATCAACTGAAGTGTTAAGGGAGAATTGAAGACTAGAAGCTTGTCGAAAGTCAAATTCGAGTATTGAGGGGATCTGAAGAAAATCGAAGTAGATACAAATGCCGAGTACACCACTGCAGATGAAATTGAATTCAACAATAATGCGGTACTGTTTTTGATTATTATGAATTGATAGAATAAAAGCTATAATTTACTTTACCATATAAATCGTAAGCAATAAGGCCATGACTTGATATATTTTAATTTCAGGAGTGTAAACGACTAAATATTGGATTCCACGTTATATTTGAAACTGGCACACCTAAGCCAAAGACTGGTGAGAAGCGGAAAGCCGATTGTGAACCCCCTTCAAATGGCAATGCGGATAGAAAATTTGCACCTCTGATTAACTTTCTCAAGAAAATTGGAGCCAGAGTGGTAATTACGGATTTCTCTCCTCTACGGGAGGATCTTCACTTCCTTGAGACCATAAAAGACCATCTACCACATGACATACCGTTTTATCAAGTAATTAACTACTGGTTTATAACTAGTAGGCGTTATTTTTTTATTTGACTTCATATCAATTAATTTGACATAAACCGGTTATTCCCGATAGGTTAGGTAAGTTATATATCAAGGTTCAAAGATATTAGCATATTGGTTGCTTCGATGCATTACCACTAAGTATTTATCGACTCTGCCAAGATGATCATGGTGGTGTTCATGGCAAAAGTTTGCCCAAAACAACTTGATACGAACACGTTCAACACTTGCTATGAACTATTGAACGTTCAGTTTGCTGTTATTAGTAATGTTCTATATTTACTACTTTTAACTAAAATATATAATATTACCTTATCTTCCTATTTTCGCACGGGACCTCTTATATACATTGGGGCGGGTAACAGCCTGTGGAAGGATTCATGACATTCGAAAGTTGTTTTCAAAAGTTCTTTGAAGAGGTTATTTCTGTATCTAACGTCAACACTTAAGATGACATTTTGATGTGTGCTCATCGAACTGATCTTGTCTTTTTATACGACTTAAAGCTTTTGGAAAATTGAAATCTGGAGGTGCATCAAGATCACTGAGTCCGAGGTGCACTGATCCACTCACTAGTGCCAAGTCAGCAATTCGCTCGAATTCCTTTACGGTGGGGATTTACTCTGATAGTTACGAAAATCGAAATTGTTTTCCCCATTACCCATGACACCCTTGTCAAACCCATGACTTAAAATTTCCCCAAGCCATACACTTTAAGTTGAATATTGCTTTTAGGTTGATGCTCATAATGTAATCCCAGTGTGGTTCGCCTCGGATAAAGTGGAGTATGCCGCACGTACAATCCGCCCAAAGCTGCATGAAAAAGCGAAAGAGCTCTTTACCGATTTTCCACCCGTTGTGCCTCATCCTCACGCCAAACAAACAGTAAGGTCTTTTCATTTTTTCCTCAATTAGGATGCTAATATTTTGACTAATAGGATCATTACTGTTCATCCGATGATCATAAGATAGGTGGTTATCTGCCAATTTCTACCTAATTTGATACGTACACTATTGACCATTGGAAAATGGCAACAGATATGTTTGTCATTGATTATATTTCCTTTATATTCAAAAGAGAAAAGAAATTTTTATAGAATCTGGCATTAATTTGGCAAACTTAAACCGAAAATAGAAACGTAATTGGGCATTCCTTGAATTAAACCAAAGTTATTGAAGGAAGAAAGTTAATTTATATTTGGCCCCAAGTGTTTCTCTTGGTCCTTCAAATTTTTTAATTAGAGCCAAGTTTCTTGTAATTAAACAATTATTATTCTAAATTGTCTCCTAAATTGGAAATATTTGGTAAATTTCCGATTTTCTTCACGTGCACTTAGAAGATCCATTTGGATTACAGTTGTCTGGTGGTATCATTTGCACATCCTCAAAATCACATGTCTTAGACATGCAACAAATTGAAATACTTTTTAACGAATGAAATGACAAGATTTTCTCCCTTTTTTGTTGGAGAAAATTGAGGTTTCGCTTAAATTTACCCTTTAACGTCCTTAGGAACGCACAGCCCTCTTTCAAAATAAACTCCATTGGTACTAGACTTGTAACAGAAGGCTGACACCACCAAATCTCATCACGTCGACATCAGTCTGCTGTGAGACGCGCGTGAGTACGGTTGGGTGCATTTTTCAAAAATAATTAGGGAGTTACAGGGGTAATAGTAAATAAAATGTATCAATTCACTGTATCGATTATTGAAATATCTACATGCACACCAAGACCAGCCATACATGAAGCAAATACTCCAGTATGAAATTTCATTAGCCGGGTCAATTCTGCATTCAAAGGGTATGGGTTGTGATATTCGGGATTTGTGCTAGGCTTATTCTACTAGCTTATCTTTAACTTGAGAACATGTGCCTGCGATTTTTTCTCTTGCTGATCAAGTGTAGTCATGTGAGCTATTTGTATCATTCAATTGATGAACTTCTTCGTAATTTAATAATAATTTTGTGGGAATTGGGAATGTTTGTGTTGGATGCTAGATAAGATTACTGTTTTATAATTTTATTTAAAATTAGTGACCCGCTGGGGTGTTTTAGGCAGAATTGAATGCTTGGTCTTCCAATTGCAATATATACCTCTGAATGTCTACCTCATTCAAAGATCTATTTAACCCATTTACCCAGCTTTAATTAATTTTCACTTCTTTTATATTCTGGTTCACCAAATAAACCTTGCTCTTGTCAATTCAATCTTATTTCTAGTTGCTGTCTGGTTGACATCACTATGAGGAATATAACCTATCTAGTCTATGCAAAATACGAATCTGGTCTCTAAATTGTAATTCTCTTTCGAAAATTTTATCTGGTACACCAACAATAACACCGACTTAGTCTTTTTTACACGAAGCCGTCTGTATGGAATAACAATGTAGGATTAGAGCAAATTTACACAAGTAAAAAGGATAATGGTTGCCTCAAATCTACTTTTAACGATGTGTGAATATTGTTTTAAACGTTTAAATTGCAATTATTCAAGTGCTTAGTGTAACTCTTTCAATCGAAAAACAATTAAGTCTAAATCCGTTAGAAAGTACGAATTTGGAAAGCGCCTCACAGGTGTGGGAGAAATTCATAAAGCCTGTTGACATGAACAAGTCCAAAACAGGCACCAAAATACTAGTAACTTCGGACATTTTGCTGCTATGAGGTTCCCTAAGACAAGTCAGTTCGTTTCCTTGTGCTAAATTAGTTTGAAATGCTACTAAAGCCCTTTATTACTGAGACGTTGATATTTTAGCCTATTTGAACTACTGTAAATACACGACGATTTAGATATCCTATCACAGGTTAATTTAAATCCAAATGCAGCTCTAATGAATTATTTCCGAAATCTAAATTGGATTGCTCAAGGATTCATCAGCATATTGATGAGTGTACAAGTAAGTGAAGGTCATAGTTTCTATCATTACAATTTTGCTATTATGAAATAGTTAGAAATTCAATCACTATATGATTGTAATATTCATGTCTCTGAATTATCGACTCCTTAAGAAATTTATCCTATTATGAGTTAATAACTGCTATTGTATGGCTACAAACTTTTGCCGATCGTAATTCTAGCAGAAAACTGCTTGTTATGATAGGATCTAATATGGTTCTTACATTCTGATTATCTGAACCCCCCCCCACATCGCAACTTTCAGGAGCCGGTTGATTGGTGTGGAGTCGAAGAGTTCATAACTGGTCGAGTGAACGAGACGGTTGAAGCTGTTGAAAAATATAAAGGGGGAGCAAAAGCAGGATTCTTTCAGCTCTACACCTTTTTCCATGCTCGTCTGCCAACTTACGAGAAAGATCGAAATGATCCCACCAAGGATTCCCTTAGCAATCTTTCACCGTGGTTGCACTTCGGTAAGTTCAATATCTGATTTCGTTGCTACGGCATTGTTGCTTGAAAGATCAGGCAGAAGTTGATTGGAAATATGTTTTTGCCCTCTTGAGTTATGCATTTTGGCCTCAGTAGGATGATTTTCATGGAACTATTTTCTAGAGTATTTAAGTCTTATTGATCGATAATTCCAACCTATTTAAGAAGCTAACCTGGTGATTAAGTTAATTCCTCTTCATGATTTAAATCAATTTCTGATTCAAACAGAGTAGTTTGCTTGGGGTCCTTCCATCGGTCCTGTATTCCTTATTGACCACTTATGTATTTCAGCCTTCTTCTTCCCACTTGTACTTCAGGGGAGATTTGTCATCAAATTTTGATGAGCTTCTGCTTTAAAGTTCACAAGTACGGTTTTCAACTTTCTTTGCAAGGTTTCCTTCCATTTTCCGTTGGAAGTGTTCATTTCTTGTCTCATGGATTGTGACTTCCACTTCGTATGCCTAAAATGGAACACTGTATTTACTATTGATTTCACAGGAAGTTCCACAAGCTATATTTTCTCGATAGCCAACGCTTTCGATTTTGGTTTTGATCCACTGACCATTTCAGGGTGCTGAAATCCTTTCCCATCCTACCTTCGTCTCGCTTTTGCATCACAGTCGTAGAGACTACTCGAGAGATTTTGTCATATTGATGTTGCATTGGTTGATCGGAAAACCTTACCCCCTACAACTGCAGTTGCCATGTCGACAATGCAGCACTGGACAAAAAAACGTTTAAAACTAGGGGAAGAAGGCTTGAGAGAGCGAAAAAAAGAAGTTCAGAGTAGGAGAGCGATAACGATAAACGTGGCGAATAACAAAGGGGGAGGAGGGAGAGGGGGGCTCCTAAAATTGACGTGTTTCAGGGGGAGGAGATTAAAAATGTATAATTCTCACTGTGCGAATGGAATTTGACTGGATGAATACAGCGGTTATACTTAATTAGGCATGGTTAGCATGAAACGTAATTCGAATAGTACTTTTAAAGAAATGTTTGCTGCGCTCTGGAGTAAATTAGTTTAATTCCAATATATTGCTAATCTAACACAATGCTCCACTGCTTTGAGTTTATTTAAACAAATCAAATTGAAGAGGCTCTTTGCCTTCTTTTATTTCCATTATTATTGAAAATAACGCTTATTCCATAAAATTTTCAGAATCCATTATCAATCGCGCTATAGTGTACGTAGTTAAACGAAAAGTGTACTAGGCTTTCGCTATAACAATGAGATAAATATGGGGATATCGGCTTTTAGATCGTTGAACAAATAAATGCCTATTGCCTTACTTTCCCCTCACAAGGTAAAATAAATTGCTCTTGTAGCCTTGACTTATGCTCTATGGCACGTTCTCCCGGTTTGGAATGGCTCCCAGGACTAGCTAAACGACCACATAGCATTAGAGGTAACAGACGTATGACGTGAAATGCGTTTACCTGGGATGTGTTACAGACAGAGCCTAGTCATTAAAATGAAGGATTTGCTAAACCAGGCAAGGTCTATTGATTGGCGGTTGACTGGGTGCTCTTCGTGCTCGCGACGGCAATTACGGCCTACGCGACCTTGCACGACGCACCTTCAAGCCTGTCAGTGATCAGGAGTTTCTTTTGTTCAACAATGACCGCGTCGTGTACTCCACACTCTAAATAGAACGTGTAGGGAATGAGTCACAAGTGTAATGACCAAAATCTAGATTACCTTTTTAAAGGAGGTTTTTTAGGTGTTTTAGTTGTTAAACTAATAATGTGGCGGTGATCAACGCTCATTTGAGATTAGAACAGGTTTTAACTCTTGAATATTGCAAGCATGTTTACATACGGGCATGTAGATTGTGAGCATTCGAACAAGGGTTAAAAAAACGGATCATTTTGGATTTAGGTATGTGTTTAGCATGTTTAGAATGAAGCACATATATGGATGCATGTCTGTTTTTTAACAATTACGTCATGAATTATGCAAAATAATTGTAAGCACGAGTGACCTTGATTTGACTGTATGTATTTCTGGCGCTCATGAAAGTTCAAACTATCTATTCGTTTCTAATAAAGAAGTTTTTAATGCCTTTTTATCACATCGCTTTCAATTTTATTGAATATTTACAGTATGTGTGCTTTTATGTGCTTAATTTAATTTTTATCTCTAATGCCAAGCTCACTTGACAAAATCTACAAGGTGTATCATGGGGTTCACCAAAACTTCTTCTTAGTTCAAGGCCAGTTTGGTTGTAACTTTAGGTAACAGAATTTTGACAAACACCGCCTGTTCCGTAAAATTATGCTATTAAAGTGGGTAAATCTACTGACAATTAATAGAAAATCAATATATTACGCAATATAATTAGCGCATTTCCATTTTTACCATTTAAAATAAGAACCAAAGAGGCAAATTCAGGCAAATCATGGAGAATTCTTTGTTTTAGATGAATAAAATTGATCCTAGACTGAAGCAGCATATTTCACAGGCTAATTTTATTTCAAATTTCTCATTCCTTTGCATTTGCTTGTGGCATTTGTTTTTGTCACTCTTCGGAATAGGTCCATGTCTTATGAGTGATCATCTCAAAGCAATTGCTGAAATAGAAGTTTAAGAGTTGTCATTTTCCATTTCAAGAAAAGATGAAAAGAGGTTAAGGTGGTTTTCAGACTCTGGTCCATTGATGGTCTCAAAATGTTTCATCAAGCAGGTACAACTCTTTTTTTCTTCCTTTAACCACGCCAACAAATCAAGTGTTAGTTTTGCCTTAAAGCTAACTGTATCAGTGAATGTGTGCCAGTAAGCGTAGACCTCGCAATCTTTGACTTGCTAGATGTGTGCATATGTTGAATATGTTGAGATTTTGTTTTTCCTAGCTAAATAATTGAAATTCTGAATTTACTGAAGCCAGTCACTGTTATTTGGTAGTTTCACCATACATTCCGATCGATATTATCATCGGCCAGAAATTATGTACATTTTTATTGTTATTCTGACAGTTTGTGTGCGCCTGCCCTAATTTTCGACTTTAGCCCTCTACCCGACACATGTCAACAAAAACAACCTCGTACACATTTTCGACTTGCGTAATCGGCGAAATGACAGGCGTTTGGTTAATAAGTTACTGCTTGCAAGTTAGGCCATCTGATCCCAATTCCTCTTTCCCTTCGTTATTCAAGTTATTTCTTTAATAAAAGCCCCCACTAAATATTGCCAGACCACGGCTGACTCCTCCCCCCCCCCCCTTGGGGAGGGAGAGAGAAAGAAGACAAACTACAGCTACCACTAATACCTTTTATCGCATTAACCCAAAGTCCCCTTCAAATAATTGGCATGTTTCGTAGCCATTTTTATACGCTATTTAAGTTCTAAAGTTTTGTCAAATTTTCATTCAATGGGTAACTGATTTCAAATACGAAATCATTTCGAATATTTTTTGTTCTTTTCATCCGGATATTTTCTTTTCCATATTTCACTGAGACTCATTATAACTTGATTCTCCGGACCAGAGTCACCTGATTCTACTTTTGAATGATTTGACCAAGTGTATGTCCTTCTTTCTCTTAAAATATACATTCACTAGTTCCAGATTGGGCCACCTACGCAATTACTTCATGTCTTGTCTTTAAGTAAACCCTGACTTTTGTTCAATCAATACATACAGGTAGATGCATCACAGCAGATCTATCGGCATATCCTCCCCCTCTCCCAATCGTTGGTTCATGCCAGTAAAAGCTTCGACTGCAAATATATATATATATATATACATCAGCCCTATCTCGGCGGACCCATTTATGTGGCTATTGTCGATTGAAGGTTAAAATATCGCCGAACCTATTGCTATTTTTGCACAAACCAATCGTCGAGATGTTAGGAGAAGGATAGAAACCAATTGCTGGAATCGCTCATTCCCATAAAACTGTTTATGTGACTTAGCACCTTCTTTATGAGTGACCAGTCTTGAACATATTTAATCAGGCTCCAATATAGTAAAGATGATAATCCACCTTTTAGATTGAAGAGACACATCTGAACTAATTTTAAGACATAGTAAATCTTGCTGCATTCTATAAATCTCTCACTCATACGTGCTTTACTAACAATGTAAAGGTAAGAACTAGTCTACGATAGTTTGGATTCCGAAGAAGATAGAGCGATCAATCGTAATTTAAAAACAGTTTTTAATTTTTTGCATTGTCTCTTTAGCAATATAAATAGGCTTTTTAGCATTATGTTTTGTTAATTATTATAAATTCGCATAGTGCTTGGGATGCAATTTAGCACTGGAAAGGTGCAAACATGCCTAAATAAAGGCACCCTGAGGTCTACCGCATGAGGTTTCTGAAACTGTTTACTTTTCACTTGCCATAGCGTTTATGACTAGAATTTACGCGTATTAGCGTAATTGACAACCTTTACTTACTCCTGTTTTGTCCCATACGGCCTTGACATACTAATTGATCTCGATTCTCTCTTTCGGCGATTCCTTCTGTTTGTCGTTGTTCCCTCTTGATGGATTTTTGTAACCCAAACACTGTTCAAAATTCTTAGCCATTGAAAAGACTTTTTTCTCGAACTCTACTATTTCTACTTAATTACGGAGTGGTAAATCGCTTAATCTAATTTAATGTTTTTTGCACTTGTTTGAGTTGTAGTTGCACACTAGAATTGGCTTTGAAATGCGTAATTTAGGAACAGGAATAAAAGTAAATATTCTCTTACAAACATTGACCAACTCTAAGGCACACAAAGGTCTCTAGCTTAGATATTAAGTGAGAGGGGAAAATTTTTTTCAATCTTATAAGATTGAAATCTTCTACTTATATTCATCTGTTCCTTTAATCATTTGAAAGTCAAGTGTAAGAGTAAGGTCGAAATACCATTGGCCACTCTTTATTAAAATTCTGGAATTCTCATTGGGGCTATATTCAATTTTTATGTCTACTTTTCATTGCTTGGTTCACGTCGGAGTTATCTGGGGTTTATTAATCAGTGGACTTGATCTAATGGTTAATTACGCGATTCAC